AATTCTGGGAGTTGAAGTCATCATATGTTAAAGTAATTAAGTTTGAGAAGCACTGCTCTAATCACTTCAATAATGTTAAAGAAAATAATCAATAAACGTAGAATCCCTAGAAATGTCACGTGTTATAAATTATTTTTGCTTTCAATCATGGTAAAATTAAGTGTTACTTTTAAATAATATACAAGTTTAAAAACAAAAAAAAATCAGAATTAAAATAGTATCCTGGAAACTTTGCTATTGCTCTCTTCTTTCCAGAAATGGTAAATGCCAGGGTTCCAAGTAATAGACCCATACCAAGTAAAATTCAGAGGCAGATGGATTCCACAAAGAATAGCTTTATTGGATATATCATATTGGCACAGATCTGGTGAAAACTGACTCTGAACGTTCCCGTGGTTTTCACCTAATTAAAAGTAAAAGTTTTCCCTCAACCCCAAACAATCAGTCACATGGTCCAATCAAGGTGCTGTCTGATTGCCTGATGACCTCACTCCTCCTTTCTCTGGCCAGGTGTGAGAATGTCCTTGGTTCCCAAGAGAAAGTATTTTATTTTGGCTACAAAACCCCAGCTATCTCTAATCTCCCCGCTCCCTATCCCTCAGCTCCATTGTGGTAACACTGAAGCCCCAAGATGGCTTTGGTCAGGTCAGCATCAGCGTGGATAATAAGTTTTTCTGAGATCTGAAAACTTGGAAGAATTTCAGGAAAAGAGGAGAAGGGAGTAAGCTTTGTGCAGGTTTTCTTTTGGAAGGAAGGGAGGGAGGGAGGGGTTAGTAATTCTGAAATAAACAATTAGTGTAGAACCATCCTTAAATATCATTTATGTATATAATATTTAATAATGCCAGTCAGAAAAATTCTGATTTTCTTTCCTAAACATTCAATTTGATAAGAATTTACTTCTGAGTCTCCCAAAGAATGGCAGCATGCACTTCATTTGTAACCTTGCTTACAGATGGAAATTGGTATATGTCTTGTTCCATATCATAATTTATTTATTATATTGGATTTCTGGTCAACAACTATAATCAAATTTGACTTTGATTGGAATTGAACTGGGATTTCAGCAAGGAAGGATAGCTTAGGTATATAGATAAATATTAGCAGGCGATGGATTAACATAATAGTGTTAAAGCCAAGCTGGATACTGCATTTATACAATATGCTTAACCAGGTTTCTAAATGAACCGAATTTCTTGGAGGTTTCTTCTAGCTACATGGGCTTCTGTAAAGTTGGTAATGTTGGCAGTGATGTCAATGATACCGATCTCTCCAGCTCTTATAGGCCAGTTTTAGTGCTGTGGGATGCAATATCCCTCTCCTCCAGTCATTGGACATAGTCACCCATGGCTATTTTAACAAGAAGCTGCAAATGAGATTGTATATCTGGCTTTCACGGAGGCATCCGAGGCATCTGCTTATGTACTGTATTGTGTGATCAGCACTTCACAAAATACCATTTAGGAATATACACTTCTCAAAAAAATAAAGGGAACACAAGCAGAAGACATCCGAGATCTGAATGAATGAAATAGCCTTATTAAATACTTTGTTCATTACATACAGTAGTTTTGTGTTCTCTTTAGTTGTTTGAGCAGTGTATAAACTACTGTATGTAAAGAACAAAGTATTTAATAAGGCTATTTCATTCATTCAGACCTTGGATGACTTCTGCTTGTGTTCCCTTTATTTTTTTGAGCAGTATATATGGGTGCTTTACATACCAGGATTCTCTGGAAGAATTGTATACATGCTTCTAAACACGTGCTTCTAGTTCTGTCCTAAATGTTTATATTATACTATACTATAACCTTTCCACTGCTTCCACCAACAGGGGCCTTCACGTTGCACTGCTTTGTACTATTTTTGCTGGATTGTGTGTGTATCATTTTGCCTACTCCGAATGCAAGTATGCATGCTTCATGGGATGTTTGTGGGTACTGCCATTCTTTTGTAGCTTTTATCAATTTGGAAGCTGAACAAGAACTATGTCAACTCCCACTTCTAAGCTTACAGGACATATGTGCAGCCAAAGAAAAGAAAGAGGGAACTTCTGATGTGCCTTTAAGCTGTCATTTAATTTGAATGTGGATTTTACAATCTTCTAGAAGAGTGATGAACCCGTGTCCAAAAGCCTCACAGATCATGTGGGTGAAATGAGAGGAACTTTTCTCAATATGATGGGCAAGATGGGTCCTGCTTCATCCTACTTATTCCGATGCTCCAGTATATGTCAGTGGGCCATGGGAGGATCACAGAACAAAATGAATGGGAAGTCTCATGATGTGCCATGTCACCTTATTTCTGCTTCATTCCACATTTCCTATGCCATCCTGACTTAATATTATTGTCAGGATATTTTTGGACATCAGAATGCCAGTCTTCCAGCAGACCAATAGACCTCTGTCAGAAACCAGTATAGATTATATCCATGTCAAACAGTGACCTGAAAAGTGGCCAATATTTACCTTCAGACACCTCTCCAATATATATTATGGTTGATTTTGCCAAGGACAGTGACAAAATAAGAAGGGGAACACAGCCAAAGCAATGCATCAATTGCTATCTTGAACATCAAAACCCTGGCCTCTCAGGCTCATTCCTGAAGCAGAAGAGAGCTTGGCCACCAGAACAGTGAACATTAATCTGTATATTTTTCTGTCATCTCAAAGACTGAAGGAATGTACTTTAATATAGCCATAAGGAAGAGCCTCCAATGAACTCTAACTATTTAGTTCTTGGAGGACCCTATCCAAATTCATATATTCAGTGGCTTTAAGGGCTAAATTCAGGTTACTATTTAAATTCAGTTTACTGTTTCTTTTTTAACCAGCTGCTTGATTTCAACAGATATCTGGAAGATAAGGGTCATATGGTCCTTTCCAATTGCATTTGGCCATTGTAATATAGACAAAAAATTCAGTTCATGTTGAGCAAGAACTTAATAATTATATTTTCTACATATCTTAATAATATTAATTTTCCTTTTGAAAGGGAAAAAATGTGAATATTGGATAAAAGGAAACAGCAAGTCACCCATCACTAAGTCTGAAACAAATCCGTACATCCCTGAAAATATCTAAACAAGTGCTGAGCAAGCTGCTGAGCACTCAGCTAGAATCATATCGTTGTTTTCATGGTTACATTGTGAAATCTCTCTATTTTTATGGCACAGAGATGGCTATCTAATCTTCCATGGCATGGAGAATTACTTTGCCTCCCAAGAGAAGTCAAGGAGGCTTTTTAGTCTGCTCAATAAAAATGAGTTGCAGCATCCTGAATTTCCATGCTCAAGGTCAGGCAATAATCCCTTTGCCAATGAAGCAAATAGAAGAGTCACTCTTCATGGTAGCTCCTTTGTTCAAAATGAGAAGCAGCTCATTTGTAGATGCATTTTTAACATAATCATGACTTTACAAAGTGAAAGTTGTGCCAGGTAATCACCTCAGTTTCCAATGGTAGAGTGATGGTTTACCTAACGAAGCAGATTTTTTTTTTACAACACAAGTACCTGTTCTGTATAGGAAAAGCTGGAAGCTGTTTTCAAGTTTGTCTTTCCCTTGCTAATTAGATTAATATTCATGGTGGATAGATATGTATCTGTGAGTCTCCACTATTTAATGGTTAAGACCTTTAATTACCAAGATGCATCAAACTAACTTCATTGGGAATCTTTCTTTGCTAATGATTTAGAATAATTTGGCAACCCCAATTTTATTTCTGGCTTGTATGATACTAGCTCAAGTCTTATTTTAAATAATTTTAGCCTATTTATTTGTGCATTTGTGCTTTTGATCCATGTTCCTTAAGCCTTGGCCATCTTGCTAAAGTGTCCAGTTGGGAAATATTTGCAATGTTACCTCCTCTTAATAAGAACAGTTCTTAACAGCAGGCCAGCCTTGATTGCCAGTGATAAATTCATTACCTAGTCAATACTAACATGAAAAGATGTCAGTATTGTAAGAGGGGAGGTAGGAAACATCCATTATCAGCTCTTAAATAATTTCCCAGCCATTAAACAATGTATTTAATTAGACAACTGGAAAACACATAGAACAGCAAAAAGAATTAACAGATAGGAGACTACATCACCACGACAAGGATTGGATTCCACTAATACAAAAGGTAAGCAAAGGTATTGAGTGGGCTGGTACTTTAATCTTTCCCATGAAACTCAACTCAATGAACTGACTGATGTCAGCATTAAGGGTCCTTCTGACAGTGTATTTTGATATCAACTTGCCAGGTATCCAGTTCTGACCACCAAATACCACAACTCTACATTGGAGAGTTTTCTTGTTGTAAAGCTGCCAACAAGAAAACAAGAAAATACTAATATTTCTCCATATTGTGGGATGGAATGCAGCTAAACATATATTGGAATGATATGCTTAGCCATCTTTCAATTAACAAAACTCCACCATGGAGGTGCTCTGGACCTATGACCTGTCTGCCTGTCAATCTATTTCTAAACAGGGATTTAGGACTCTTTTGAAAGAAAGGGAAAACTGTCTAAAAATAGTCTGGCAGACAGGTTACCGGCATGGAAGAGGAAGCTCCCCAAAAGTCATCACCATTCCCCTCCCCCCAAGAAATTAAAACAGTAAAAACTACAGCAAAATGAAACTCCCAAGAAGCAAGAGAATTTGAACGTGCCTAATGGTGTCAGAACCAACAATATATAGATGGTTGAACTCTGCTCTTTAAAATAACCTTCAAGAGAATTGTAATAATCCTGTTTTAAAACAAAGTCCTAGGTCTCTTTCAAGTGACCATTAAAACTTTGTTTATCAGGAGTGAGCTCCACAAGAGCTTAGAAAGTCCCCATCATGGGCAGATACCTCTGTGGAAGTCAAGTGCCTCAACTTTTCTGTAGTAAAGACCAGAAAATTCATGTAGAGCAGTGCCCAATGACAAAGAGAGCAAGGGGCCTGTTTACAGTAGACTAAAGTGTCCAAAGATGCTGGGCAGATCCCATTCCTGATGAATTCACAACCACATTGTCAGTAAAACATCCAGTATTTTATTCATAACAAAAATTGTGTCAGGAGAAGGAGCACATTACTTCAAAAATGGAACAGTTAATGCTGACTTTGAGCTGACGTTAACCTATGGGCTGGTGATGAAAGAAAACCTAGTAAGGATTTGTATATGCTTGCAATCAGAAGATAAAATCTTACCAGTCTCAAGGATCCAACAGCCAGCTTTTTAAATAAAATAAATCAAGCAGTTTATTGACCACCCATGCTTCATAGAAATGGATTTAGGAAGAAATATCAAGTCTAGGATTCTTATTCAAATAGCATCAATTGATTACTTTGTCGATTCTAATGACATTCTTAAAACCATTTATATTAGTTTTCTAAATAGCTATGTTTTCCATTGATTTGACAATAATATCTGTAGGAAGTTTTGTATTCTGTACGATGTTTTATGGCATGGAGTGCTGTGCAGCAATAAAAGGTTTGATGTATTTCAAGTACAGTCTTGAAACTGTGGCCTTTGATCCTGATCTTGCTTTATAAATTGATAAAATTGCAAATTAAAGCACAGATTAAATTCTCAGATTAATATTGTCCCTATTGTAAATGTAATTTCACCCCTTATGATGATTGATGATTCCAGTACAATTTACAATCATAGGGAAATCAGAAAAAATAAACATTTTTTAAAAAATAAATGAAATGTGGAAAAAGAAATGATAGATTCTGTCAACCCCACACCAGTTCGCCCTGAAGCCTGTAACAAATGTATATTTAATAGCTAAACAAATTATAGTGATGCTCTCCAGATATAGCTGAACTTTCAAGTCCTGTCATCACAGTTAGTGTTCAGATTAATTTGATCAATTTGATCAGACCTGGCCAAATGTTTTATAACACATCATTGTCATAGATTAATCAACTAATCTGGCACTTTTATGTAGACTTGCCTAAGACCATGGAGCACTTAACAGAGCCAGAATTATTCTGAATTAATCATGCATGGATTTAAACTTGTTTAATAAATAAAAAATACACTATATATTACAGTCCCAATTAGGATTTGGAATCCTAAAATATTTGAGGACATTAGCTTGAGAAAAGTTGCTTTATGTCCTTAAATTCTTGCAAATATTTAAATCGAATTTAACCATCCATCTTTATATTGTCAACATATGTGGGGAATACACTGAGAAATGGCTACCATGCCATGATACATGAGCAACATTTATTGAAGAATGATTCTAGGGCAGAGGACTTATTTCTTTTTCTTTTCTTTTCTTTCTCTTTTTTTTTGGAACTTTCACATGAATTATGTTTCTTCAGCTGGTTCTTTTCTATCTTGGTATGAGGAACCTCTTTTCTTTTCCAGCTTACCTTAAAATGGCAGTGACATACCATAGCATTCTCAGTAGACAGAGTCCAAAGTCTCTTACTTCTGAGATATTTAATAAAACATGAGCCCTTTATCTTTTAAGGCTGTTCATTTTAGGAACTACATCCCATTTGAAGACTACCTCTTCAAATCCCATCTCAAAACGTACTTTTTTTTAATGCAATCTGGATTTTTCATGCTCTCCCACAACTAAACGATAGCCAAATTTTAAATATTGTTAGCCAGAATGATCACATATATTCTCTCTCATTTTCCCATATTGTTTTTTTTTTTAAGCACAATTTTACATTGGAAGGTAGTCACGGCATGTAGTTCCTTGTATTTATAAAAAACATATTTCAATTTTCTGGGATATACTTTACAAAATGTTGATGAGACTTAAGGAAGCCTTAACCAGAGATTTGTTTTTAGGTATCAGGGCTACAAAGCAGTTATTGTCATTTTGCACAACTATTCATTGTGGTGAGATGCTTCCAGATGGATAGTTTGCAGAACTGACAATCTTTTTCTATCCTTAATAGATTTTTCTCTGGTGACAAGATAAAAGAGATATGAAAAGACAGAATAGTTTACAAATGAAACATAAGGTTATGTGGTTATCCCCCCCCCATCACTTAAAATTCTATGAATAATGCAGATAGTCACATAATATAGACACATATCCACCAAGAAGCTTCCAGACTGAACTTTGTCCATTTCACTGGCAGAATCCAAGGGCCGTCATGACGTTGCTGCTACTGTTAAACAACTGGGAACAAAATATCCATATGGCATAATACAAATTACTCAAAGATCTATCGGAAGAGTCAACTTTACCATCTACAGTACTCCTCCTCTAAAGTTCTGTACACAATGGTAATGTAAATAATAATAACAGCAGTAGTAGTATCAATAGTATTAGTAGTTAATTAATTAATTATGTCCATCAAGTTGTTTTCAACTTTTAGTGACCACATAGATAAAATTTCTCCATGACAATCTGATCTTTCAGGTCTTCCATCTGTGCAGCCCCTATAATGGAGTCTATCCAACTTGCTGCTAGTCATTCTCTTATTCTCTTTCCTGTGACCTTTCCCAGGATTCCCTTTTCCAGAGAGCTGGGTCTTTGCATAATTTGAGCCTGGTCATTTTCTTCTCAATTAAGAACTCTGTGTTAATTTGTTTGACGTTCCATTGGTTGCTTTCTTGGCTACCCATGGTATTCTCAAGAATCTTCTCCAACACCCAAGATTAAAAGCATCCAAACTCTTTCTATCCTGCTTCTTTAAAGTTCAACTTTTGCTTCCATAGAGTATCACAAGGAAGATCATGGCTTGCACAATTCTGATCTTTGTAGGTTATAGACTCATTAAAACATTTGGATATCTGTTCCAAGGTTTCTGTTGCTGCTTTACCAAATGCTAATTTAACTTTTCCACAGCATTGATATGTTTTTGGATAATTGGTGATGCCACATGGCACATTAAATTAGGAGGGATATTATTGTGTATAATTAGTGTTACTTCCTAAATTCTGGAACCAAAGATCCTCTGACATGCAAACAGATTTTCCTGGCATGTAAGGTCCCATTGTCAATTCAGGTTCATTGAATCACCCAGGAGAACATTATCAGTTGGTACTGAAAAAATGTTCCTTTTCAGTACCCCATTAATGGATTTCATATTTGTGAATTTGGCTTTCCTTTTTCCTTTGTATTGAAAAAACTAAGGTGTAGATAAAAATTATTCCGTTTTAAACGGCTGATTGGTAAGAACTACTCCACCATAGAACAGCCTTGCATTTAGAACAAAGAATTTCCAGCATCTTTAGGAAATGGAATGGATAAAAAAATAGATTGGTTATAATTGCCGATAAAAGCGACTGGAATTTCAAAATGAGAGTTGCATCCATAATTAGTGGGAATGTTGAGTTCCAATCTTTTTTCTCCTTATCTCTTGAAATCAGAAAATGCAAATGAGAGAAAACAATGGTAATAAGAAGGTAACCTCCAGCTTCATCTTTTCTTCAAACATAAAGGGAGCCATTATTTAGATTATGATATCAGTGTTGGTAGAGAGATGTTTAAGTTTTCTTCTGCCTGTTGTTTTCCGATGGAAAATCTTAAAACCCCACAAACACAAAGGTGTGCTTCCTCCATTTTGTTCAGGACTTTGATGGACGTGCTGGGGAAATATGCTTCCAAAAAAAAAAAAAAGGTTCTGGACAAAGAAATTATTGAAGCTGGACAGAAATAAAGTTAGATTTAATTTAATTTTCAAGTTAATTAAATTTGAATTAGTTCCTTACAGTTAATGTGATTATTTCCCATAATTTTCCACTTGTGTCATACTAAAAAAAAATTATAGATGTTAGGGATCATCTTTAAAATGGATTGGGGAGAGGAATGCTGCAAACAGTCCAGGAGCTTCAGGTTGTATATTTCTGATAGGTTGCTTCATGGAGGCAGGAGAAAAGCAACAGTTCCCCAGGAAAAGGCCATTGTGGTCGAGAAAGTAATCAGTTGGATGTTTTAAAACAAAGGAACACCTTCCTGGTTGAAACAATTTAAGACTCCCTGTGTAGTAAAACAACTTTGAACCTTTAATATTAAGAATGCTAGACATGGATCTTAAGTATCATATCTATGCTTGATCATACAATTTAAGGTTACGGTTCAATTGTTTTTTCCTCTTTCTTCTTGGACTTGTCCTTCAGTAGAAGAAATGTAAGAGTTGAAAGGTGGCAGAAGTCCTTTTCCAGCCAGAGAAATATGGAAACTGCTTCCAGGCTGATTTTTACTGTTCAACATGCTGCGCCTTGCAGATCCAAATCTCACAGCGCAGGTAGTGCTTTGAAAGAACAGCACATACTGGCTTGAAACAACTTTGCATTCCCAGGAGGAAACACAAAAATCAGCATAAATCTCGTTGGGAGAATGTAGCTGCCTGTTGTGCATCTCAAATTAATGCTAAGAAGTCAAGGGAAGAGCTTTTTTTACCTTACTATTCATACAAATATATTCCCTCTGCTCCCACTGAGCAAAGGTATTGATAATATTCATAGAAACCCAGTAGACAGTAACAGAAGGATTTTGAATCTGAATCTGAATACAATATACCAGCCAACATCCATTTATATTAGTTTGGGATTTCTTGGTTAAAAAGAAGCTAGAATTTTAGGAATAAAGGCATAGAATGCATGGAAGTTATTGCCCAAAATCTTTCAGGTTTTTGGCATTCACAAATATATAAACCAGTACACTTTCAAGAAAATATACTTGCAGTACCAGATACTGGACTTGTTTGCACATATACATACCTCTGCTTTTCTGCAGCACTACCAAAGTCTTCTTTCTTCCTGTGGTGCCGAATTTTTGGGTGAGTGTGTGTGTTTTAAGAAAGAATGACTTCTTCATCCCACACAAAGATCCCTTTTTAAATTGTACAAAAGATGCAGTTCCACATGGCCTTGGAATAAACTGAAAATCAGGTGGCCATTCCAAATGTGTGTAGAATTGCACTAGACAATGAATAAATGGGCAATAAAAAGCCACGTCCCAGGAATACAAACCTAAATGATTGTTAGGCTGGAACAAGTTTAGTTTAGTTACATGCAAGTATGATTAGGGAGGCATGCATCCATTTTGATATGTGAGAGGAAAAGGGGTACAGCAGATACAGTATGCTGAAAGGCAGTTGGTTTGAACCACAGGCATCACCATTTTATTTTATTTTGATTTGAAGGAACAGGAACACAACTTTTGTGAATCTGAGAGCTAGTTTGGTCTAGTGTTTAAGACATCCGGCTAGAAACCAGAACACCACAAGTTCAAGTCATGCCTTGGCCTTAGGCAAAGGTGACTTTGGGCCAGTCACTTTATCTCAGCCCAACCCACTTCACAGATTTGTTGTTGTGGGGAAAATATGAGGAGGAGGAGGAGGAGGGTGTGTTGGGTATGTTCACCATCTTGGGTTGTTTGTAAAAATAATAAAGGTAGAATATAAATAAATAAATAATAAATCTGGTCCTACAGCTTCAGTTGCTTGTCTGTACTGCCATTAAATTTGGTCAAGCAACATGTGTGTCAAAATATTATTACAGAGGTATCATTGTCTTCCACTGCAGCTTTTTTCCCATGTCTCTGACCTTAGAGCCTAAGTAGGCAATCAGTGGTCCCCCAAATGTGGCTGAACTTCAATTTCCAGCAGTCTCATTAAGCACTGCAGGACCAGTGATGAGAGATGCTGGGAGTTGTAATCCAAGAACATCTGAAGGAGCACAATCTCTATCTTCCATTTTTAAAGCAGTCTTCTCCAATTGAATGTCTTCTGGACTTCAATTTCCAGAAGATGCAGTTAATAGGCTATCCCTTCTTCAATAGAGTGAAGTTGGAAACTTTGGCACGTTCCCACATTCTTCATCATGTTTGCTCCTTCAGCATCTTCCTTGTTTCCTGTTGACCTAGTTAACCCTGTTGTTCTCCTTGTCCCCTTCATTGTGGCCTGCTAGCCTGTCATTTTATAACTGTTACTATAATCAATGCTCCACCTCTCTGTTTTATATTCATCTATTGTTTTCCCTAGGATCTTATTGCATACAATAAATACCAAGCCCTGCTACCCACATTTCTCTAAAAAAAACAACAAACCAACTACACATATTTGATGTTCCTCTCCTCTACAGTTCTAACCTTTAAGCTTTGTTTACAACATACCACTAGATCAAGGTAGAATATTCTTAGCCCATGGTATGCATATTGCCAACCGGCCCTATTTTTGTTATCTTCAGAAGAGTCCCAGATATCACACCAGTAAAATAAGTGGAGTATTTCTGATTTTAACTGTGTTTTTTGAAGAGGAACTTCAAAAAAGCCTCCCCATACATCTATTGTATCCCTTAAATTCTTCAAGCCCTTAAAAAAACATACACAGAGAAAAAGGACCAAAAAAGGGGTCCAGCCCTCCAATTATGTTCCTGTATCTTTAGCAATGCCCTCTTCATCCTTGCACTATCTGCATTACAAAATATTCTTTACTGCATTGAAGCATACTAGTTTTTATCTCCAATTTCTCCCTAACTAACGCTAATAAAGAGGGAGAAAGATTATTCATTTTAACCAAGGGTGCTATTTTAGGGAATGGCAAGGCTGAGTAATCTCTTGTTCTCTCTCTCACACACTCTCTCTCTCTTAGTGTCACCCTTTCCAAATTCTCTTTTTCCTTTTTACTTCTTTTCCCTTCCTCACCAGCAGCTAAAACAATTGAGGGTTGTTGGTTTTTTTTGCCTTAAAGTAACCTTTAGGATTCATAATTGGATCAAGTGCTCCATGTAGTCCTGAGGGACTTCAGTTTGATTGTCTAAGGAAGCCATTTTTGGACCATCTCTGTGTGGCAAATCAAGATACTTTTCTTCTTCTACCCCTGACCTCTACTGTCTTTGAAAGAGGTCCTTTCAACACATCATGGTCACTATGAATCTCCCCTCAGCTAGTTGTTCTTCTTTATAAACACTTTTCCAACCATTCTACTAAATGTTTGTGTGTGTGTGAGAGAGAGAGAGAGAGAAAGAGAGAGAGAGAGAGAGAGAGACAGGGCTTTCCTAGGCTTTTCCTTTCTCTTTGCTGGAATCCGCCCCTGCCCAACTGTTCTCTCCAAGCAACCTCCACCAATTCAGTAGCTTCCGATACCTCTTGTACCTTGCTGACAAGCCATGCTACCTTTCTGCTAAGAGTTTTCTTCCCTTCATGCCAGCTGCCTATTCTTAGTAGTTGTGTGGCTGTTTATATTATCAGACCTACAGCAAATAAGGTGAATCATCTTATCTTTCTTCTGAAGTTTTCCTCTCCTCATAATTTTTTGGGATAATTACAATGAAAACCAGAAAATTTTCTTCTAAGTTTATTAGATAAAGAATGGGGGAGGGGATGGAACTTTGTTGTTGTAGATGTTGACAGCTGCAAAAATCTTATGTGCCCAAAAACAGAAAGAAGCGTTAACCCCCACAATGGAGGAATGGATTGAAAAGATGATGGAGCTAGTGGAGATGGCAGTGGAGTTAACTGCATTAATTAGGGTCAAGAATGTAAATAGTTTTGTGGCTACTTGGAAGCCACTTCTGGATTACTTGTATGAAAGAGAGGGAAAAATGAAATTTTGACTTCGGGTTTTCATGATTAAATGGGCTATTGGTATAGAAATGGCTTGTAGTTATTATTTGGAGTAAGTTAAAAGTTGATACTTTAACTTTATTTAGGTAACTTACTGCATTGAAAAAAAATTGGAAGCTACTGCTTTTTGTTTCTTTTTTCCTCTTTCCTGACTTTATCTTTTCTATCCACTTTCCTTCCTATTCTTTCCATTGTCTTTATTTTCATTTGAATTTTATATTAAGAAAAATATTATAATAAAAAAATATTTTTAAAAATTATTTTGATATTACTACCCAAAAAAGATGAACACAGAGAGAATCTTTTTCTTTTCCTTAATGGAAAAACATTCCATATTTTGTTTCCACATTGAATCCACCACCAAAAGATGATGTCACTTCTCTGTGTGCAACCCTGCAAGAAAAAAATATATAGGATAGCTCTTTTTTTTTCTTCACCCTTTTGCAAATCCTCTTTTTTCATATTTTGACCATTATTTTTTTTTTGTTTTGATTACAGCAACCTTCTCCTGTCTAGTCATAAATTGTCATCCCTCGCCCACTTTTATTTTTTCATAGCACTCACATAACATAACATATCAAATAATTCCTTATTTTAATCCTTCAACAACTTGATCTAATCCGTATTCCTTAAATATCTAGACCATCTTTATTTATTTATTTGAAAGATTTGTATGACTGACTCTCTTAAGCAATTCTGGGCATCTCACAATAACAATAACAATAACCCTTCCCAACTGGATGTCCTCTAGATGTGTTAAACTCTCCAAATCCTCAGACCATCTTTTGACATAAACTGCCTGCCAATTCAGGAGATCAGGTTGGGGAGACTGTTGGTTCTATCCTATCCCAAACATTCGTGCCTCCTGTAAGTTCTGCTTCTCCAATTCCCAGATCTCTTTTGTGATGTAATCTTCTGATGTTTTCTTTCATCCTTTCTTCGATGCATTTTTCCCATGAAAGCTTGAAAGTTCTCAGTCTCCCTATCTATCACAGCTTTCTCCAAATGTTCAGCTTTCCAACTGGGAATGTTGGAAACTGTTGTCCCAACACTTGTGAAGGTGCAGCAGATTGCCTTGTTATATCTAATTGAAATAACATATGTTACTTTCTTCTGGTTGAAGTTTAAATAATGTGAAGTCTTTAGATTTTCTTCTCACATGATGGGTGGGAAAAATCCGGTCTTTCAAAGGTTGTTGGGCTACATCTTTCACTTCTCATGACTACTATCTGTGGTTTCCCATAGTACCATAATATGTAATAATGTTTTTTAAAGTTTCCTAAAATGCTTAGTCCTTGGGTCTCCATATAAGAAAGCAGATTCATCCACAGAGATCACACTATACACACTATGGATGGGAATGGTGTAAATGACAACTGTTGAATCCCCCCCTGATGTGTGTCAGGGAGAAATTGTGTATGTTGCAGCATCTCCATCTCTACCTCATTGATATTAGGTGTGATGACCAACCTGGTTCAAAGAAAGCATAGAAAATCATGGATCCATATATGATGGCCCCCATTCCCAAAGTCTCTAGTATGTGCTATCTTACTTTTTCAGACAATGACCTTTTCATTAACTGGCGGAAATTAAAGAAGGATTTTACGCATGAGTTCTTGAATATAAATGGAACACCCGAAGCAATCAAGTGAATGCAAGAACCCACAAGCCACATACACACTCTTATGACTTGGTAGCTTAGCTTAATAAAGTCAGGAACAGGAAGAGTGGGATTAAGTAAAAGAGAAGTACTAGCATATACCTTCCTGTGCCCCTACATACATTTGCACTGCTGCCAAAATCCATCCTTAAAATGCATTTTATGCATTTGAATAATAGCTCACATTTATTCCCCCCACTGAAAAAACCATCCTAGGGAGGATTGGAAACATCTTTATGGATTTTATTAAAATAAGAAACTCAGACCAGACCCCAAAATGTCACGGGAATCCACAGGCCCTTTTTTCTTTTTTTTCTTTTTCAATTTTTTTTAGGCCAGAAGTGCAACCCCCATCAAACCCAACATTCCCACCCCAGATTATTACAAATTAAAAAATACCTCCATACCCCTGTGTCTCTAGGGAGCACATTGGCTGTGCCTGCTTTCCCATAGTAATAATACTAGTCATAAAAAATTTCCGGAAACCCTGTGTGCCCAGCATCCCCACGTGCTCCAAAGGTGGAGCGGGGTGAGGGTGGGGATCCTGGCACCACTATGACCTCCCATTTCTTTATTTAATTTATTTATTTTGTATATCCCAATGGATGAAAATAGAATTTTGACGGAAAGCGGCTCAAAATAAGACTTTTTTAAAATCCCTTTCCCATTCCACTTGGGTTTTATGTTTTATTCTTCTTCCTAAAGATTATTCTCATGACGTTGAAAGGAAAATGTCCTCCCTTCCTCCTTTGTCACTGTCATTGTTCCTTTTCTTTTCTTTCTTTCATTCATTTCAAAGTAAAACAACAGGTAGTTGGATACAGAAACAGCCCCATCTGTATAAAAAAAGTCTCCAATGTAAAGGGAGTATGGTAGAAAAATAAGAAAAGGAAAGGGGAGAGAAAAAGAAAAGAAAAGAAAGGGAAGATCAGGCAGAAGGTGAGAGCAGTGTCTTGTTTTGCAGAAGGAAAAAAGAAGAGAACATAAAAAGCTAACTTGGTGAGAACCAAAGGTATCTACTGGTGGAGGCTTGGGATCCAAGATCTGCCATGGTGGTGGAAAGACCTGTGTTTGTTTGTGTTTGTTTTTAAAGTGAGGAGGGAGGAGCTGTTCCTCAACATGTTCCTCACTGCATATACTAATCCATTGCCGCCCTCCCACCACAGAATTACTCCCCTTTTCCTCAGGCTGTGGCTGTCATATCTGTGTCTCTTGGACATTTTCTTTAGAGCTGCTCTTGAATAAAAGAGGTTCATGGATGGAATTGAGCATGGGATTCTTGGAGCATGTGAGGGGTCCACCACCACTATTGTTGTTGTAGTGGGCTTTGAAAGCAGCATAGTGGTTGAGGTGGTCATGCTCAATGGCAGGAAGCGCAAGATGGCTGTCACCGGGAGCTCCAGCTGCTGCAGGCAGCTCATCTTCAACATTGATGATCTCAATAGTGCGGGTAGGTCCATGATGCTTATGAAGCTGGTGCTGCTTACGAAGTTTGTAGAAGACAATGAGCATCACAGCAGCCATGAAGGTAATGGCTACAAAACAGCCAATTATGATCTTAGTAGTTTTCATCACATCATCTAAATCTTTCATGCCATTTTCTGTGACATCAGTGATTGGGATAGTAAATGGCTTCTCAGTGCTGCGTGTGCTGCGTGGAGTCAGTGAAGTAGTGGAATAAGTCATGCCCCAACCTTGGGAGGGTGTTGGCCCAGGTTCCTTCTTTGTGGGGACTGATTCTTCTTGGCCAGGATCCATGGTCTCCACAGTTACAGTAGTGAAGTAAGTATAACCTGTAGTGGCTGGATCCACAGCTGAGACATTGAGTGTGGCTGAAGCAGTGGTATTGCCAGCTGAATTAGTCACCATACAAGTGTACTGCCCAGTGTCTTGGACTGTCACATTGGTGAAGTTGAGTGTGCCATCATGAAGGACAGAAATGCGCACCCGATAGGAACCATGTGTCATCAGTGTGCCATTGGGTGTGAGCCAGTTCACTGATGTCATTGAGGTCCCTGTTCGGCACTTTAATTCAGCAGCCATTCCTTCGGTCACATTAAGATCAGTTGGAGGCTCCACTATAACAGGGGCATAGCAAGTAAAATGGCTTTGATCCAGCTCTCCAATATATCGCCCTTTTAGGTTTGGTGGGGCATGGCACCGGGCACAGCAGGTAGTGTTGTTGGGCACTGTCTCTTTGAGCCACCAGCTGAGCCACAACACATCACAATTACAATGCCAAGGATTATGATTGAGGTGGACACGTTCTAGGCGGTGTAAAGGGGTGAATAGATCATGGGGCAAGGACATCAAATTATTGTGGGAGAGATTGAGCTCTTCCAATGACTTAAGGTCATCAAAAGCATTGCGTTCAATGGTGGCCACTTGGGCATGCATCAACCACAGTTTGCGAAGGCTAGTCAGACCTTGGAAGGAGCCTGGCCGGATCATGTCCAGGCGATTTCCAGAAAGCTCAAGTTCTTCTAGCCGCACTAAGGCTGTCAAATTTGGAATATCCTTAAGGTTGCACATGCCCAAGTTCAGGTACCTCAAATTGACCAAGCCTTCAAAAGCTGCTTCTGAGATATACTCCAACTTCTTGAGCTCTCCAAGGTCCAGACGCCGCAAAGAAGGGACTCTATTGAAGGCATAAGAAGGGATGCTTTCAATGGGATTGTTCCTCAGCCATAGCTCCCGCAACTTGGAGAGGTACTCAAAGGCCTGTGTGGGGACAGTGGTTAGCCGGTTGTCAAAGAGCTCCAGTGTATTGAGGTTGGGCAAGCCGTTGAAGGCACCAACCTCAATCTTACGGATGAGGTTCTTGCTAAGTTGTAAAATCTCAAGATGACGAAGATGCTTGAAAGTATCAGTCTTTATCACCTGGATGTTGTTCTCCTGCAGATTGAGGTACCGTGTGTTGATTGAAATGCTCTCGGGCACTTCCACCAGCTCCCGGCGTGTACAGATGACCCGGCTGGCTTGGTTGCTGCAGGAACAAGCAGCTGGGCAGGAGGTGGGGGAGGCTCCACCCAAAACAAATGATGGCAGCCAGAGGGAAATGAGAACAAGATGTTTCCAAATCATTCTAGAGATGCCGGGGGCCAGCCAAGGCTTCCGAGTGCAGCGGCGGGTGGCCATGTCCAAAGCTCATGCTTCAGTGAACAGCACGTTTGATGCTCAGATCTTCAGAAACTGGGAAGAAAAGAGAAGAGAAATAAGGCTCCCAAACCAGATATATTTATTAGAAGCACTGGAGTTCAGGAGTCATTCAGTTAAATGGATTCTGGGCAGTTCAAGACTCAGGTAAAGATTTCTTTCTGTACCACTTGATTAATTTACAGAATTTACGGAATTACTGCAAGATGTAGGTATGAAAGGCCACCGGCCTAAACTGGGTGGTTTTAAAAAGCAAGCATTAAAATAGCTCTCTCCAACTGCCCTCAAACAATTCAGTTTCTGCAATCACTTTACCTTTTTCTATGGCTTTCTTGAGGATCTCACCTCTACAATTTGTGTCTAGGATACTGAGACTTCCTGGCCCTGTCTGTTTTCTCTTTTTACTTTGTCTCAAGATGGGAAGGCAACCATTTGCTACTTAAGTTGAAATTTTTGGAGGCTATAAAGTGAATATAACCATATCACACCTGAGATATAGAGACAAAGCTTGGAATTATAGAGATTATAATATATATATAGAGAGAGATGGAAAAGGTAGAGATAGAGAAGATAGGGATAGATAGAGACAGAGATATACAGATGAGAGATAGATAGATGAGACATCAGAGGGAGAGATGAGATAGAGAAGGAAAGAGGTGATAGATATGATAAATCTACAGAGATATAGAAAAGAGATGAGAAAGAATAGAGATATGAGATTAGATAAATGATATGTAGATTAGATGGATGGATGGATGGATGGATGGATGGATGGATGGATGGATGGATAGGTAGGTAGGTAGGTAGGTAGGTAGGTAGGTAGGTAGATAGATAGATAGATAGATAGATAGATAGATAGATAGATAGATAATAGATAGATAGATAGATGATAGATAAATAAGGAGGGAAAGAGAGAGAGAGAGAGAGAGAGAGAGAGAGGCAGGCAGGCAGGCAGATGACAGATAGTGATATAAAGATATAGAGGATAGAAATGATAGAGATAATTCTACTCCTGCCTCAGATATGAAAAATCAGCTGGATGACCTTGGGCCAGTCACTCTCTCTCAGCACAACTCTCCTCACAAAATAGTTGTTGTGAGGAAAATAGGAAGAGGAAGGAATACTATGATATGTGTGCCATCTTGAGTTATTTATAAAAACAATAAAGATAATATATAAAATAAATGAATATAGAGATATATATAATGTACATATATAAATAGAGATAGAAAGAGAAACAGCTATGTCTACTTTAGAGATTACACTGTTTCCCTTGTGCAATTTTTAATTAGTCATGCCAAGACAGGAGACACCATGGGCTGCAGTAAGAGAATTTCCTGGTCTTGTGTAACCTAAGGACCCTGTGAATCACAAAAATAGAAAGGGGGAGATGAATGTGTGTCCCGTTTCCATCCTTGTGGTAACACAGAATATTGTTAGGAAATTCTCCACCTGAGTGAGCGCCCAGCATGCAATTCACATTGTATATCCAGTGGGCCTTCCATATGCAGTATCCTGGTCACCATATTTCTCAATAGTGTTGCCAATAGTGCACTGCCACATCTGAGTCACAAGGAAGCATTAGCTGGACCAATGAATGAACGCTGATCAGATATTAAAGGACACGGCCCAATTGTATACATTACACAGCCTGCATATACCACTATATTAGACTACTGTAAAATGCAATGGAAATTGCTGTCCTATGATCAACAGGAAACTACTGGCACCATTTTGCCCTTTGTCTCAGCAAAATATATAGGGTTAATTCCCTGCAATCAAAAATTAGATTCTCAGGTTAATCAGAAGGCTAAATCTTTAGATGCTAGTTTTCTACATGGAGAGAAGTAATTGCTTGTTAACAGCATGCAATTTTGAAGTATTACTGTTTTTGGAAGCTCTAATTATATAATTTATTTCTAGTAGCTTATGCAAAATGCTGTGTTTTGCAGGGAATGTTGTGTGGTTCCACGATTAATCCTGAAAAATGCAAAGGAGAATTTGATTTTTTTTAAAAAAATCACCTTATAAAGTTTAGAAAATAAATGCTTCCTCTTCCTACCATGGGAAAGGATGAATTGTAATTGGATTTCATTACTAGCATTCATCCTGCTAAGGATCCACCATATAAAGAAATTCCAGAAATTGCTTCCATTTTCTTCTGGCAAATAGTCAGGAAACAGTTTAAGCTAGCATAATAGGACTTGTTCCAGGCCTATCCAGCAAGAATAAAAACTCTTAAGTTAAGATTCAAGCATAGGACTTGTCAGCCCAACCTCCTCGTTTTCATTTCACAGTAATGATATGGTGAAGTATGCCTTGTCATTTTTCAAGTTCTGTTTTTCTACTTTCTCCTCTTTCTATTTTCTTGGTTTTGGAGGCAAAACTTCACAGGATCCAGCAAATTAAAATTATGAAAGGGAATTCCTATCAGTCTTCCTTGTATCTTTTTGCCTCGTGTATTGTTATTGTTGTTGTTGTTGTTGTTGCTGCTGCTGCTGCTGCTGCTGTTGTTCCTGCATTATCTCTATTATTAATGCATTGTGATGCATGTGCAAAAGGAGTGGAGATGTGTCGAATCAGTGGCACTGCTTTTTTCTTTGCACATAATTCCTGTCCCCCATCATTCTCTGAGGGTGTTTCTGGTGGAGGCTACTGATGTATTGTGACTGTGCTTTAGAAAATTAAAATGTATTTCACAGTATACAGGGTGCAGGATCACCCATGTAGCACCTATCTGCAGCCTCTTCATGCAGCTACATATAGATATGTCTTGGGATTGCACAACGGGCCTTCCAAGCTGCAGCACAGAAAAAGACATTTGCCTTCTGTCTCAAAGGGCTGTACACCACTAAATCCTATTGCTTTCTGATAATTGGTGGCGCAGTAGTTAGAATGCAGCAGTATTGCAGGCTAACTCTGCCCACCATCCAGGAGTTCGATCCTGACCAGCTCGTGGCTGACAGCCTTCCATTTTTCTGAGCTTGGTAAAATGAGGACCCAGATTGCTGGGGGCGATATGCTGGTATTTTTAAACTGCTCAGAGTGCTGTAAAGCACTATGGAGCAGTACATAAATCTAAGGGCTACTGCTATTGCTAATCTCCATCACTTTGGATTTCGCTGACTGCCTAATATCCCAATCAGAAAAAGTTGAGTGAAAGATTTAAACATGTTAGAATTTCATTGAAGCACCTGGCGTATGCAAAAAGCCAGTTTGTAATGGAAATGGAAACACCATATGCCAATTATAATAATTTTATGATAAGTCTCATCTCTTGTCAAATAATTTCTAAAACAATTTTTCATTTATCCAATTAAATGAGAACTGCCAAAAATAAGGAGCATGGCATTGCTCCAATAAGCTATAACATTGCTCAACTTTACCAGACTGGACATTGTCAGCACCCTGAGCTTTTCCTGTGCCTTTTAGGATATTAGAAGAGACCTGTCCAGTGTGGTTGAACTTTCCTCAGAGCATGCAAGCCCAACAACCATATCAAGGTGGTATTATTATTATTATTATTATTATTATTATCATCATCATCATCATCATCATCATCATCACTTTTATATATTAAACATGAAACTCAGTCAACTGAAATTATTATTATTATTATATACTTTGATGGTGTTACAGATATCGTCACAGGATGGAAGCAGTTCCAAGTAAATAATAATAATAATACTTATTATTATTATAAACTTTTATTCATTAAACATGAAACTCAGTCAACTGAACATTTAAAAATGTATCACAAATATTATTGACTGGCGCTGATGGTTGATACGGGTTGCTGCCAGCATCCTAGGTATCGACCAAGTACCTTCTTAAGATGTACGATGTTCCAAGTAGAGTAGTTTTTTGCTGTTCCGCTGGTGTTATTGCAGGAAGCTGCAATTGATTGTTGTATTTTGTGAAATTCTTGGACTTGGTACCAAATGCCCCGATAACAATGGGTGTCACTGTTACATGTTTCATCCATAATTGTGTAGTTTCGATGGTCAGGTCGCAATATTTCGTGACTTTTTCCAGTTCTTTTTCAACTCTGGCGTCTCCTGGTACAGCAATATCAATAAATTGTACTCTTCAGTTTTCAACAATTGTGATACCTGGATGATTATTATTGTTGCTGTTGTTGTGGTTTGTTATAGTCATCCAGATATTCTTTGATCGTATTAAAGATACCGTACATAATGTAAGCTGTTCCAAGTAAAGCTGTTTTTTGCAATTAGCTGATGGTGATTTATCAATGGTCCTCAAGTGATGCATCGCATCCAGCATGCTTATTCCTATTTATCAGCAACACCCTCCCTCTTAGCAGAGTACAAAATGGAAAAAGTGAAGCTCTGGGATGAATGGATGGATGGATGGATGGAAGGAAGAACAGACAGTAGCCCCTTCAATTTAGAATTCCTTTGCCATTTTATTCTGCTTCTTTGCTGTTAGCCTTTCAGCAACTGGCAAAGTCTGTGGATTGATTCAAACACTAGAAATCCCTGAGTACACAGAGGCTGATTATCTTCCTGGTGCTGTTAGCATGGCTGCTTATTTAATTGCTGCTTATTTGATTATTTTAATCCATTTCTTTTTTAATTGTTGCAATTCCTTAAAATATCATTAGCTGCCTTGAAAGGCCACTGCAGCCTCAAAAGGATATGCCTTACGAAGCATTTCCTAGCAGCACGGCCTCTTTGGCAGTGTGGCACTCTACCTCCCAAGCATTTCACTTTCTTTCATTGGAGATTTTTAAGAAGGGTTGGAGGGCAATCTATCTGGGTTTAGAGAGTTCTCTGATGTTGAACCAAGCCATGGTTGGCTTAACCATAGGTATTTGACTAAATTACAATTGGCTTGGTTCCCACAATAAGCCAACTTATAAAACAGAAATATATAAGTGAAAATTCAGCCCCCATAACCACAAAGGACAATAATGCCTCCAGAGATCTCCAGAACTGTAACCAAACACATGAATGGAAAGTCATCATTCTGCCTACATTTAATTTAATTTAATTGTCATTGTAAATGACATCAAATCAATGTTTATTCTTACCAACCTTTTACTTTTTAGATTATGGCCCTAGAAATCAGTCAAGCCAACAGTGACCTTTGGGCCAGAGAGGACTGTGTAGCACAAATCACTGTTTATTAATCACAATAACTAGGTTTACGCAGCGCTCAAGGCAGAACCAAATAACAAGAGTTTTGCATGAATATGTAGATCATATCTTGAAGTTCTGCTTCTTGCCAAACCAATATCTTTGTGGGGGGGGGGGGCAGAATAAATATTTTAACAAATCATTTGACCATCTTCTCTGGGAAACTACTTTCAAAGATGGCAAAATGCAGGCTTGCAGGATGGATTAGTTCATTAGATACAAAGAGAGCTAAACAATAGTACCAAATGACTTACACTCAAAGTCTCAAATTGCTCTATATCAAGCTGGAAGGAAGTGTCAATGGTATGTGTGACTGCCTCTATACTGTAACATATTTGCAAATTACTTATGTTTGTGTAGAAAACCTGATTATCAAATGATTATTTGCAAGTAAATACTCTGCAAGAGATTGGACAACCATTTGTTTGAAATGGTATAGGATTTCCTGCTTGAACAGGGGGTTGGCTTAGAAGACCTCCAAGGTCCCTTCCAACTCTGTTATTCCCTTATTCTGTTAGATGAGACAAAGATAACAGTATCAAGATTCAGAAGGATTTTGAGCAGCCTGAATAATGGTCAGAAAGAAACAAGACAGATTGCAACTGATAAATCCAAAGCCCTTCATTTGAATAAGAAAAATCAAGCATAAGAGTAGGATAAAAGAGATTATATGGATAGGATGACATGCAAAAGATAGTGAGTACTTTGGTGGGCCACAAGCTGAACATGAGTCAAGGGTGTGATGCAACTGTAAAACAAAATGCTATCCTAACTGTAACAAAAGCCAAACCAAACCAAACCAAAACCAAACACATAGCATCAAAATCAAGAAAAGGCACAACAGAAGATGTTCTCTATATTCCTCAGAATGAGTTTATAATACTACTGTATATCCAGTTCTGGATACTACTGCATTTTAGAAAGATCACTGGCAGACTGGAGCATGCTCAAAGAAGAATAACCAGGATTATAAGGTGCCTGGAAGGAAAAACTCAAAGGGAACATTTGGAAAATTTAAATTTATTTTTAGCAAGGAAGCAAGAAAGATGGAGAGATATAGTAGCTGTGCATAAGTTTCAGACAGATTATCATATAGAAGACTGGTAGAAATGTTCAGAATTGTTTCAGAGGACAGAATAAGAACCAATTAATTCAAATTACAAGGAGGTCATTGAACATCTAGACTTTGAAGAAACAGCATTTTCTAGGCACAAATGACCAGGCTTCCATTATCCTACTTTGGACACATTATGTGAAGGCTTACCTCTAATGGGAAAGGTAGAAGGAAAGAGGAAAGTACAACCAGTTGCAAAGTAGAAGGACTCAGAGTGGTGATGGGTGTACTGTTGAAAAACTTGAAAAGTTAGGTTAGGGGCAGATGGTCCTGGAGAGAAAAAGTATATTAGTGTGGTCACTAAGAGTTGACAGCAACGATCATTGATCAATGAAAATAAACAGGCACGGAGAAAATCCTAATAAAGATTGTTGGCAATGGAAAAGATTGCTTCCCTTTCTTTGCTGAAACTATTTCAAATAGAGACTTAATGACTACTTTAGGGACACAGTAATAGTGGATTCTTGCCTTGAGCTTGGAACTGAAGTAGACAAACTTTAAGGCCCCTTTTTTTCCTTTATGCTCTTCTACATTTCTAATCAGAAGTAAATTGGAGTTGGAGATCAGAAATGAAAATCATAATGATAGACTGTTCTACAATGAAGCAGGCTTCCTTAAATCGATTTTCCTTCACAAATATTTAAGCAGAGGCATTTAAACATTCTACAATCCTAGAGTTCTGTTTCAAACCTTTTCATAACATCATTTCAATGTAATCTCAAACAGGTCTTCAGCTACTTGTGTTGATCAAATCACTGAATTGACTTAGGATATTGGCCATTATGCCACATAATGCTAAAGTTACTAGTTAAATAGTATCTCTTTCAACTTAATCATTTTTATTTTAAATTTTAGTCTTCACTCGATTGACCTTTAGAAAGCAAGGTAGTGTCATGTTTTGTTGTAAATTCATTTTCTTAAGCTTTATTGGATTTAAATACGATTGGCTATTTTAATTAAGGAAGGCTATGAGTGGTTATATTTCAGTACTGATTTTCTGGTATATTTTATTGGGCTGTATCCAGGATATATTAATTGAACTTAAACCTCACATAAATCAAGTCATGGCCTTGGACTATGGAACAGAAAGGAAATAATGACCTCCACTTACAGGCAGGGGACAAAAGAAAATATGAAAGTAGCACCCCTTGTTTCCTGGAAAAACATAATTGCCCAGGAAGGGCCAACCTAAGCCTGGCCATTAGCCAGGCAAAAATGACTATAGAATGAGGGAGTTCCTTCTCTTTGATCTATGAAAGAAGAACACTTAGCTAATACCCGCTATTGTCCAGGGTTTGATGAGCTGAAAGGCAGCGCTCTGAAGCATATTGAAGAAGCTTGTTGCTACAAATAACATTAGAAACAGAACTCAAGTCAGTCCTAGCATATTCATGGAGGATGAAGACAACAGCCCTGCAAGTATTATCCACTCCTTGGCTTGGCCTTGCAACTCACTTTTGAAAACGTATGAAAAGATCTTGGGCTCCTCACTACTTTATTCTTTTCAAGCCACCAAGGCCTCTGTGCACTCAGAGCTGCCTGTAGAGGGAGCTGCCACTTTGCAGATATTTATGGAATGTTTGTATGCCCATGTCATTCCAGGAAGAGCTGTAAAGGGAAGTAGCCTTGACAGAGCCCTGTGAATGTGCAAGGCACTCTTGCACAGTAGAACAGAAGTATGTCTGGATTAAGCTGCCAAATCTCATGCAATAAAATATATGAAACTGAGGCCAATTCACATACTGTATCACTACGTATCCTGGGAAGCCAAAAATTGTTTGTAGATATATAGGGCAAGATTCAGCAGCCTTAAGAGTTGTAAGTTCCATTTGTTTTTGTTTTTTCTTGATCCTCAAGACCTTGATATAGATGGAGGCTAGTGCAAACAATGAGCCCAAAAACTCTCTGTTTTCTTTGATGGAAAAATCACTCTGGAGTATGTTGAGCTTTTTTTTTTTCTTAGCAGAAAATGCTGTGATTGTTAAACAATTGATAGTAAACATTCCACTTCATCACTGCAATCACTCAAAGATCTATTGTTAGTTCCTGACTATTTTTCTGTGTGCCATTGTTTCAGGCTTGATGTATGTTATGATGCATTATTATAAGCTATTACAAGCTAATTTGAAGATCAATCATTTTAAAAGGGATATACATCTTCTAAAGAAGCATGCAAAAATAGCTATTATTTGTTTCTCTTTAATAAAAATTGCTCAAAAATGCACAAACTGTGGTCTTAGGGAAGTGTCAGGTTAATTTCAAAAGCCCAATGCAAGATTGTTAGTTAAGAGCTATTTGATACTAATTGAAAACTTTCAATCTTAAGAATAGAAGAATAAGATATTAGGATAAAGAAAAGAACAAAAGAAAGAATAGGTTTTCCTATACATTTTTACACGGGCTTCACCTACTGCTTTCTTTACCATTGACCAGCTTCCCAATGAGAACACAGCTCTCTTCAGAAGACTGAATGCAAGCAAGCAAGCAAACAATAATATATGAACCTTACTCTTGTTTTCAATGCATTGCATCTAAATAGTTATTTAGGGGCAGATATGATGAAGATGTTAAATCATTTTCTTGTTTATTGGCATAATCAAATTTACACTGAACTTTAAAAATATTTATATTAGCAAAACTTCAGTTAGTATTTCTATCTCATGCTGGACAATGGGGTAAAAATTAGGTGAAAGATTAAATTCATAACATACTTTATTATGAACTTAACCTACTTTGGTAGTTGATACAGTACAATGCAATCCAAGTTGCTGGTGATCCTCCTTGAAACCTTATATGGCTCAAGAATGTTAAATATGATGCAGTCATGTATACAATATTCATATTATATTTTTTAGAAAGCTTATTTACAGATACAAATTCATCAGCAGTTGGAGTGGCTGAAAAGACCAGTGAGTGAATAAACAGCAATAACAATAGCATTTAGATTTATATACCGCTTCATAGTGCTTTACAGCGCTGGTTTACAGAGTCAACACATTGCCCCGAACAATTTGGGTCCTCATTTTGCTGACCTCAGAAGAATGGAAGGCTGAGTCAACTTTGACTCATACATAAAATACTGATCAACAGCCTAACCAAACAAATTCCATTCACACAAATTACAGTACTGCATGACCAAAAAAAGAAAGTCTTTTACCAACGTATATTAAGCATAATGTTTGAATTGACATGCATGTAAGGAGTTGGAGCAGGAAGCTTGGGAATACTTGGGTTAAGCAGTTTGAAACTGTCTTAGAAAGAAGCAGATAAAAACGCTGCTGGCCAATGCAGTTTGTAGAAAGGGGAGTCTATTTTAGGAGTACATTTATTTGATAGAAGATTTATTTATTCTTTATTGCAACTGTCTTCCTGATACGTTGAAATGGAATACCTATAATTTACAGCCAGCATAGCCAGAGGAATATAGTAGCTTAACTCCGATACACCTAGAATACACCAATTTATAGAAGCTGGTTCTCTTGAATGACATCATGTTTGTGGTCTTTATGTTTCATAAATAGTTCCTTTAGGTTCTTCATGTCATCCAGTCTGGGTGTATTCCAGACTATAAATCTCTCCTCATGTTCTTGCCTTGATATGCACCATAAATCCTGTTTTAGAGATGCCTGTTATTCTGTGGTTCAATAAGTAGTCTCAACAGTTTACTTTACAGAAGGTGGTGGTAAGTCTTGATTCAGTGCCTATGAAGTTTCTAGTTAACCTTCTTTACTGAGTAACTTCTACTAAAATGGTATAGGGGAGTGATGGCAAACCTTTTTGCTGTCACATGCCAAAAGCAGGGGGAGCACGGAGGGATCGCGTGCACGCGTGCCCACACCCATAATGCAATGCCCCCCATGAGCCCTGCCCCACGCATGCACACGCAACCAACCCTGCGCTGCCCTGCCCCCTGCGCATGCATCCCCCTGACGCACATGCGAGCACGATCTTCACACGCCCCGTTTTGGCCATAGCAGGCCTCCCTGAAGCCTCCGGAGGCAGGAAACAGTCGTTTCCAGACTTCCGGTAGGCCCATTTTTCACACTCCTAGAGCCTCCGTGCGAGCCTTGTACTTACCTAGCATCTAAATTGGACCCTGTGGAGACTCCTGGGAGGGGCAGGGCAGCATGGGCATGTGCGTCCATCACATGCGCAGCAGAGACCCAAAAATCAGCTGGCTGGTGGGAGGCACATATGCATGCATGGTAAAGCTAATCTAGGGCAATGGCTTGCGTGCCCTCAGAAATGGCTCCGTCTGCCACCTGTGGCATTCGTGCCAAAGGTTCACCATCACAGGTATAGGATCTCCTGCTTGAGCAGGGGGTTGAACTAGAAGACCTCCAAGGTCCCTTCCAGCTTTATTCTGATTGATTGATTGATTGAGTAGATCAGACTTAGCACAAGACGCTAATGCCAACTCAGAAGTCTTTTAGAATATTGAAATTGGCATACATATGTGTATGTGTGCATGTGTGTTTACCATTTACTTCTAGAAGTAATCACCTGTTTTTCTAAATACCCAAAGTAATGTACAATAACAGCATAATTGAAAATATAACAACTGGAAGCAAAGCAACATAAAATTAGCAGTGACATCAGTTAAAACAGCACTTAGTGTAGGATTTATAGCAATTAGCATACCATTTCTAAGATTTCTCAGTAAATCCAATCAACTTTTCAGTTTTTTAAAAAGGTAGCAGACCAGCTACATTCTCTTTAATCGCTACCAAGTTCACCTGAGAACCCTGCAGGGCGGACTGTAAATAAGTCTAAGAACAGAGACTGCCTGAGGCAGGAGATGCTTGGGAAAGGGCAGGGGCAAGCTGTTAAGAGTTCATGTATGTGTCATGACTCTCTGTGCTGGACTCTTCACTTGTCCTGAAGCCCTCAGATGCAATTCAGCCCAGTCCAATTCTGTAAGAGGGAGGGGAACATTCACCTTGTCCTTCAGCTCTAGCAACATAATGCCTTGGCCTGCCCGTAGTAAAGGACATTTATTCATGAAAGAAGATTAATTCATACAAAGGTAGATGTTATCATGATCACCCAGAAACTGTGTATGTCATTTAATAAACATAAGCTACAGCTTGCTATCAGAATATTTTTGGGTAGTAGCTAATGAATAATATATTTTTTAAAAAAAAAGCAGAAGCTGAACCAGACAGAATTATGTATCTGAAGCTTCCTTTCAGTTGAAGAAAGTTATCTAGTGAGCCTTCCCTCTTCCCCACTACGGTAATATACCAAAGCTATACTATTAAACAAGGTTTCCTAGAGACATCCCTTTTTATACAGATACAGATTAACAGAGTTGGAAGGGACCTTGTAGGACATCTAATCTAACCCCCTGCCCAAGCAGGCCCTACACCATTTCCGACAAATGGCAGTCCAATCTCTTCTTGAAAACTTCCAGTGATGAAGCTCCCATAACTTCTGAAGGAAAGCTGTTTCATTGGTTGATTGCTCTGTCAGAAAATTTCTCCTTATTTCTAGGTTGAATCTCTCCTTTTTCAGTTTCCATCCATTATTCCGTGTCTGGCCTTCAGGTGCTTTGGAAAATAGCTTGACCCCCCTCCTCTCTGTGGCAACCCTTCAAATATTGGAACACTGCTATCATGTCCTTCTTTTCACTAGACTAGCCATGCCCAGCTCCCGCAATAGCCTCCAGATCTTTTTGCCATCTTATTTCACTAGTAGAATTACCAAAATTTGGCGAAGCATTTTCCTATCATTCAGAGCAGGAAACACATAAATAGGTTTATCCTAGTTAAACAGAGAAAGAAAAACTCCATCTATCAGCAAACCTCAGAAAATTCTGGCTCTAACCATGTGTGTGATTTGATGACAATCTCTGTTCATTATTGCCCCAGATACCTCATTCCTCTCCCATGTTAAATGCTGTCTTTGATCACCAAAAAATTGTTTCTCTTATCTTAGACAATAGAAGACATATAACTCTAACTTTCATCCTCCGTGGATTACAAGATGTCTTACTCAATTAATCAAGCTGGTTTGAGTTGATTAATCCAAAATTGAAGGTTTGTGCTTTCATTAATAATCCTTTAAATTACAATTACCCGAAGTTATTGTTGAAGCACTGGATGTTGTTTGGAAGAAACATGAAAAGTAGCTGGACTGAAAGAGAATTAGGGGAGGAAATGAGACACCACTGCCAGTTTCAGTAAGAAGGCTTTGCAATCCAGCACAATGATTTGCTCAACTCAAGCAATTACATTCCTGGGCACTGCTGGCTGTTTGGGAAAAAAAGGAAGGAGAGGGAGAGGGCAAAGTTGAAACATTCAAGAACAGAGAATGCATCTTTTGTTAATGAGACCTGGAACCAGTACAGAAAGCCAAGGATAGGTCAGGATCTGCCGAATAAGTGAATGGGATATTTGGATGAATAGATTGTGTGTGTGTGGGAGGGGAAGCGTGGTGGAATCTGTTGCCTCAGACACTTGACTCTACTGGGAACAGCACTGGTTGCCACTTTCTATAATGGGTGCTGGAATACAGGAGACATCAGACAAGGCTGACTACAGCACATATTAAATAACCCGTAGACAGTTTCCAGTGACCCAGTAAAGAACAATTGGTCAGAGAAACAGAGGGAGAGAAAAATAATCTGCTTTCCAAAATTCATTCATCTGTCAGTAGATGCAGAACATCAACCAGATAATCTTTGGTTATTTGATTATCTGTATTTCATATCCAATTGATATTTGATGGCAGCATTTAATAGCTGAGATGCTGATGTTTGAAGATGGAAACTTTGTGGAGAGGTGCCTGGCATATATTTGAGTGCTGACATGTTTTTCATAGCACTGACAGTGGATTCTCCATGATGTTGCATGTCTAGTCATTGGCATATAATAGTATTCAATATATAACAACTACAAGTTTGAAAAGGTTCCTAAATGACCCTTATATAAGTCATAATAGTATAGATAGGACAGCTAATACAATGCAGAAATCTTATACTTACTTCAGAATTAACCCATTGAAGTTTACTTTTGAGTAGAGATGTACATTGTTCAGACTTGTGTGGAAGATTTCATACTGAACTTTACTTTGAAATGTCTCCTGCAAAACTGCTCCATCTGTAGATGATAAATGCTTTTTTTACTTGCAGAATGATTTAAAAGAGGACTGTGCAAACGCCTGCAACCTTTGCTGGCTAAAATGCAATTAAACCCTCTTGACATTTGTGTCCTCAATTATCATTTGGCTCAATAGGAGTCTATATAATGACTGTTTTGATGAAGCCTTGCTCTGTGCATATCATATGTGGTCTTGTTTTATGTTTATGACAGTACTATCCATAAGTTTGTTATTATTAATATAGGGTCATCAATGTGCATAGCACTTTACAAAACAGGAGGGAAAGAAAACAGTGCTTCAAGGAACTTAGAAAACAATTCAAGACATGTTTGTTTGGAAATAAACTTGATTCAGGCATTGCTATATTACAGTTTGGTTTACATACTATTTATAGCTCAATGTTAGTTTAAATTACAGTTTAGAACTAGTACCTTAGCCGCAGTGTGGATCTATCCTTTGTTTTAAGTTAATTTAATTCAACCACAATGTGGTGTATTATTTAATCAGCTATTATTCTTTCAAAATAGGGTGATGGCAAAACTGTGCAGTAATGTAGCTACAGCTTTCATTTTGAATCTCACCCTTTTGGATGTATTGGAAGAGGCTGGACACCCTTATTTTTATGGAAATTAAAAATTAATCAGATACTGGAAAGATTCTTGGAATATTTGGCAAAAGGTGCAGAATTCTTGAAAGTGAATAGCTTTGATTTATTTGGTCATCTGAGATTAATTTGCTGGGTGAAGATCTTAACCATATGCAACCATGAGGAGAGCACTGGAATTAAAGTTAAGTACAATATGGCAGGCATTTGCCGGGAGTTAAAACCTGCATGCCAAGAATTTGACACTGTAAAAAGTAAGAATCTGGGAGAAACAAGTATCTCAAGAGAGAGCAATTAGGTAGAAATTAAGGGAGAGATAAAAGTGACTACTGTTAGACAGCTTGGAGCCAATGAAGGGAAATAAAATTAGGGACCTCCAGACAGGGGGTGGAGTTGTCTAAAGAAACACAGAGGCAGATACAAAACTCAGGAGAATTTAGGAAAGGTTTTGAAAAGCTTTGAAGCTGGGTGCAAGAGACCCACATCCAGGGAAAGAGAAATGGAGCAGAAGAAGTTTAGCCTGGAGCAATGGCTAGAAAATAGAAAAGGAAAAGGTTAGCCTATAAAGAGGCAGCCTAAAAGATATGGCTGGGTAACCTTTTCTCTCTTTGAAACAAGAATTAAAGAATGACTTTGTGAGTAAGAAATGGGAAAAGGGGATAAAGCAAAAAGCTTTTCTCCTTGTACCCTTCAGCCTATCCAAAGTTCCATTCTAGGGACGAGAGCAACTTGGGTTTGCAAAAGCATGAGAAGATTTGATTGGCATCACTCAATTAATGGATGAGAGAGAGAGGCTGGCAAGTTTTAGCAGTGGAGGAAATTGCCCAGTCAATTAGTTAATAAGGGAAAGACTGATACTTGCCAAAGTCAAGAGGAGCAGCAAAAGAGAGAAACAGAAGATCAGATGGACAGAAGAAATCCAACTAATCCCATGTTTAGAAAAGTAGAAAGTTAGCATTGTTCAAAGATGTACTTTGCCATTAAAAGTTCTTTAAGAAGCTGGGCACTCTCTTTGCAGGATGGCAAGGGGATTCATTCTAATAATCAGAAGGTCATTGTTCCTGTTTTAACTGGATTGGTAAAAGGAAAGGAAAGGAAAACTGCCCTTTTAGAGCTTCCCTTCCTAAATGATAACCTGGCACCAGGCTTTGTTTCAAGTATCTTGTAAGAGAACTGGAGAAAAAATAAAGATCTCAGAAATATCTGTATTTGAACCCAGGATAATTTTCATCTGAAAGAGTTGCTACACATGGCTCAGTTTCAGGATCAATGTAGGATTCACTGTGACTAGGACTGGAAACTATAGACTAAAACTCTGCACTTGAGAAGAAAGTGTTTCACTATACAGAATACAAATAAATTCTTAAAACTCATACACTGATTATAATTATGTTAATAATGTGCTAGTCTATCCATTTTTAAAGCAGAATAGTGACATTAATAGTGACAGCTCTCCAGAGCTAGTGAATTTTAAATATTTCTAAATAATAGTTTCATTTCTAATAAAGTATTTACAGAGGGAAGAAAGATCATATCCAAGAAATATCATGTTGATTTTATCACATTGGTGCATTTATTCCTGCATTTATTTATTTATTTGGTTTATATCCAGTCTTTCATTCAGGAGATTCAATGCGATAATTTGATGAGTGATAGAATTTGAAGGAGCCACATGCAAAAAATCTTGAATTTTAGGGTGTTTAAACTACAAGTCCTTGTTCAATATTATTATTATTCAAATCACAATTTGTTTGAATGGAGTTCAAAATTTCAACCAAGTGTCCTCACATTAGGGACATAAGGAATTGAATCTTTGCAAATTTCATTATGAAAACACGTCATTTACTCATGCAACTCATGAAAAAGTCTCATTTTCACCCCCTTCCAAACTATTCTCAGCTCAGTGACTCTCAGTGCATTTTTTTAAATGTGTAGAGAAAATATATTTAGCAGAAGCGTCTCTTTGGGGGGGAATCTGCATTTTAACTGTGTATGCAGGAATGAATTCTTGTACTGCCTTTAAGAGAAAATTATAGCAGATGCTTGCAGGAATTAGATGAAATGCACCGATGCCTAAATATATGCACAAGTGATGCAAACCGGGAATTTTGTCCATCTCTACTTCAGATTAAAATTCTGAATAGTCAAAGGAAAAGAGAGCAAGAAGCCTGGTTTATTGTACTGAGGTTATAAGGACTCTGGAGAAAGAAACTAAAAAGCCTATCTAAAAAAAATGGGTCCTCCCCCATGGTTGCCATGTTCTTTTTCAACTGCCCCATTTACTCTTCACCCAACCCTCATTTAAAAATTGTTTCCCCTGCATAAAAGAGTGTTGAGTTAACAGCTACAGTTCTCGGCAGGAACTACTTGAAATCCCATATAATTCAGGTCACTCCTGAGCACTGGACTAGAAGCGAAGGTTTAAAAGCTTGTACCAGGTCTCCTCCAAGTTTTTCTTTTTAAAGAAGAATTGTAGCTTTAGAGGAGTCATGCTTTTGCTCAAGGCTTAGACATTTACCTCCCCAGGGGTGTCTGAGGAGGCAGGGGGAGGCAAAACTGTCCCTTTTTATTACATCATGCATGTGACACATGTAAACACAGGTGGAACTTTCCTTGAATAGTCAAAACTCCCCACATGGTCCTCCATGCCTCTTATATAGTTTTTCCTTTCATTCCAATTAATCCAGCCTTTTGGCGGGTAGTTTTTCAGTAAATTGGAGGGGGGGGGAAATCAGCCAATAACTTTTATTAGTGCATCCTTCTGTTGGCTTCATTTATGTATTTCCTATATATAGATTCAAACTAGGAAACTGACATATTTGTCAACTTTCCCTTGTGACCTGTCAGGTTTGCTTTCATAAATTAGAATCCTTCTTTTAAGTTATCTATAGAATAGAGTAAATTTTTCTGACTGAAGAACCCAACCCCAAATTGGCCAAAACTGGTCAGTCATCCACTTCATAGACTTGTTGTGGGGAAAAATAAGAGGAAATAGTATTCGATATATTCTCTACCTCAGGAGTGTCAAACTCAAGGCCCGCAGGTTGGATCCAGCCCATGGGGCATTTAGATGTTGCCCACGGGCCCACCCTGCAAACAGTGAAGGACCAGCCCGTGATATCTCTGCCAGTGAAAACAGAGTTCGGGAGGGCCATGCATGGCCCTCCCGGGCTCCGTTTTCGGTCACGATAGCCTCCTGCACCCTCTGCCAGTGAAAACAGAGCTTGGGGAGGCCACATGCTCCATTTTCGCTGCCAGAGAGCTGCAGGAGGTCAGGCCAGCTGAAAACAGAGCCCCGGCAGGCCAAAAATGAAGTCTCAATGAGTGACATCGAGCTGGCCACATCCACCCTGGCCCCCCGAGGTCAAACACAACCCTGATGTGGCCCTCAAAAAAAATGAGTTTGACACTCCTGCTCTACCTTGAATTATTAATAAAAAATACTAAGAGGCAGGAAATGAATGGATGAATGAATTGGGGGAAAAATTAAAAAATGTGAAAATTTCTGGTGAACAATGTTTTCCTAACTATCAAGGTCTGTGCAAGTGTAATCCTGAATAGGAATAATTAAGTCTGGAAATTGGAATTGTTTATATTTTAATATAATATAAAGGGTAGGGGTAGGATTAACTGATTTATTTTAATGTTTAAATTTTATAAACAGAGTCACCCATATATGAGTTGGGCAGCTATACTAATTTGTTTAATAAATAAATTTAATAAATATTGATTTATATGAAAAACTGCAGATAAGAGCCATATAGTTTACTATGTAATACTTAAGACATTTTTCTTCAAAGTTTGATGATCAAGGTCAACATATGTTCTATTACCATTAAATATAGAATGAAGCAGATTGTAGAGCCCTCTTTGGGCAGAAAAGAAGATAGAACAGAGCTAAGAAATTACGGAGATTTTCTTTCCTCAACTGGCTCAGGGGTGAAATGCTCCCAGTTCGGACTGGTTTGGCCAAACCAGTAGCGATGGCAGCCAGTGGTTCGGAGAATCAGTAGCAATGGCTGTGTGAGGCTCCGCCCATCTGCCCGGTCATTGTTAAAACCAGGAACTAACCTGGTTTTTACCCTCTATGCATGCACAGAAGGCAGAGGTGGGTTTCAGCAGGTTCTGACCAGTTCTGGAGAACCGGTAATGGAAATTTTGAGTAGTTCGGAGAACCGGTAGTAAAAATTCTGACTGGCCCCACCCCTGTCTATTCTCTGCCTCCCAAGTCCCAGCTGATCGGGAGGAAATGGAGATTTTGCAGTAACCTTCCCCTGGATTGGGGACAGAATGGAGATTTTACAGTATCCTTCCCCTAGAATGGGGTGGGAATTTTACAGTATCCTTCCCCTGCCATGCCCACCAAGCCACACCCACCAAGCCATGCCACGCCCA